GTTCTCATGTATTCCAAATTTACAGTGGATCTCTATTTCTAAATCTTTCCTTATCTCAGTATTTTCTATTTCCTTATCTCAATTTCCTATTCACAAGTTTTCTTGGTCATTCTATCTTTAATCTATTCATTTGGCTACTAATAAAAATTTAATCTAATATTACTAATATGACATGATTGACTAGAATTGTAATTTGACATTTAATTTCTAACTAAAAGATGGATCACGATAATAATTCAACAAAGATCTAACTATAATTGGTTGTGATTTCTAAAAAAAAATAGGATAAAAGAAAATGAAGATTTAATACATACCTTATTAATCAGATCTATCTTTAACTAAATCTTCAGCGAATCCCAATTGGGTAAAAGTCATTCTCATCTTTCTTTTTTTTTACAATTATTGTTTTTCTTTTTCTGTTTGCAGTAACTATTACTTTCTGGCGTTAGGATGGGTTGGCGTTAGGATGGGTTGAGAAGAGATAATTGTGGGAAGGGATGAGAGGTTAGCGGAGAGAAGTGGGAAAAGATTTTTTTTTAATTAATTAATTATTATTATTTTAACTATTTTTATAATTATTTTTATTAGTTTATTTCTTTATTTATTTTTGGCCTATTAGGTTATTACTACAAATTGAATAAAAAGTGTTGTGTTAGTCCTTGATTTGAGTTTGTGCATGTTGTTACGAGTATATGGATTAAAGACGCTATTACTGGTTCAAGTTTAGAACTAAATAATGCTTATTAAAACCAAGGTGTTTTCATTGTAATACTCGTAACATTGAAACATAATAACGTTATTATTACATAATACTCATAATAATACACAATGGATCAAAATTTCAAAAAGCAAACTTGGACAAATCTTCAATTATTTCTTAATAGTAAACTAAGATTAGGTCTTGCATTTATTATCCCATCAACTCTACCTCTTAGGTCAAAATTAGTCTGAACAGTTTAATATTTTATATTTCTTCACATGGAAACATTTTAATTCTAGACTGATTAATAAATTTCGAATTTCCAATTCTCGACCATTACAGACCATTATTTTTTATAGTTTGATAAGTGATTCAAGTAGCTTAAATTGTGGCCCAAGATATCGTATTTTAACTCTATATATATAATGCTATGACGACATCTTGTTATGATGACTCAAATAATTTTATAATAAGCCAAATGTGAAGGCATCTGATAACTTGTTGAATAATTATCAAATAATAAGTGGAACCCTATTCATATATTAATCATATACTTCATCTTCAAGCATAACCTATATTATATTCATGATCTTTGTTAAAATATATATCTAAATATCCAAATTTATTCATTTTACCTTCAACAAATCTTAAAACATTACCATTAACATTTTTTATGAATTATAAAAATATATTTAGGTGTGGCTTTTCTTATACAAAAATGGATAAATTTGATTTAGAATGATTAAATTTAGATTTATTAAAAATAGGTAGACTAAAAAAAATAAAATAAAATAAAATTGAAAGTATATTTAAAAATGTATCACATGGGTGTACCACATTTTAATTGAATTTAATTCCACAAAACTTAGAGATCCAATCTGCTTATATTAAGATAATAATGAATGGTAGTTTTGATAGATTTGGTGAGTTTATTTACATTAAGAGTTTGTTTTATCTTAAATGCTACGAAAACCAACTTGACTTAAAAAGTTATTAAATTCATAAATCAAAGCTTAAGTTTCTATTATTATTATTTTTTTTTTAATACCATCTTAAATAATTTAATTTTGAATCAAATAGTTTTAATAAAAGCTAAAATAATAAGTTTGTTTGAGAAGGAAGTCTACGTTTCTTAACATTTTGTCATCATTAATGTATGAATTGTAAGGAAGGGTACTCCAAAAGTGCCATTATTAAACTCATCCAAATTTTTAGAATTATTTAAGGATTTCAAAAAATAATTGTTTATTTCAAGTTCCGTTCAAGGTTTTGTCTATGATGCCCCTAAAAAGTTGTCCGAGAATTGAATATCTATTATTACAATTTTAAATCATTTTATTATATTATTTAATTTTTAGATAATTAAATATAGTTAACTAATTTATATTATTAAAATAATTTTTAAATTTTTAAAATTTAGTTGATAATAATCTTAATAATTATTCTTAAATAAATGATTTTAATAAAATTATATAAATTTTTAATTATAAATATTTAGTTTGGATCGAATAAATTATATTAAATGAAATGTACTTATAAATCTTATATCATTATACTAATTTATTAATAAAAATAACATACCTTAAATTTTAATTTAATTTTCCTTATTTAATAAATATACTATATTATTTATAGCATTAAGTTTGTTTAGCTATAATATTAATAATTATTCTCAAATGATTTTAATAAAATTATTTAAAAATTAATTATAAATAATTAGTATGAGATCAAAAATAAATAATAATAATAATAATAAGTGTAAAGTAGTAAGAAAGAGGGAAAATAAAAAAGAATGGAAAAAATAAACACCCCTATTTATTCTTATGTATTTAAGTTAAGAAAAATGAGTCATGGTTACATTTAACAAATATTTGAACCGAATAATTATTTTTAATCTAAAAAAAAATTAGGGATAAAAGTATTTGTATTTTTGTAATGCTGAAACTTTGGTTAAACAAATAATAATAATCTATTTTAATTAATTTTGATACTTAGTATATAAGATATAGAGTGAATTTGAAGCTAATAAACTTAAGAAAGAGAGAGCATTGATGGACCATAGATGGGCTGGTATTCTTATATAAATCATATCATAATTAAAACAATAATAATAAATAAATAAATAAATAAATAAATAAAAAACAATCTTTCCTTGTTTCTCAAACCTGCTCCCACCACTTTCTGACATACATTGTCAGTTCAAATGCTACGCAAAAATAATTAATTCTTTTTCGTCTTAGAAAACAATTCAAAGAAGAAGAAGAAGAAGAAGAAGAATCCCATCTTCTGTTTCCTGTCATTATCATCATTCCATCTTCTTCCTTCCAATCCAAAATATCTTAGCAGAGCTCATATTCGCCGGAATTAATGGCTCCTCACATCCAAATCGCATTTTTCTCCATTGCCCTTTTCGCTCTTCTTTCTAATTCCTCTTCTTCACCAACAAAAACCAGCGGCAACACCATCAACAAATGGTGCAATACGACGCCGCATCCTAAGGTTTGCATTTTCTTCATGTCACCCCTCAAATCTCCACCACAAAATCGACTCGAGTTTCGGAAAATGGCGATCAAAACCACATTGGAAGGAGCCGCCAAGGCTCAAAATTACGTGTCCCTATTCGGTCCCACCTGTAAAACCACTCGCCAGAGAGCCGCTTGGACCGATTGCTTCAACCTCTATAACGATACCGTTTTTCAATTAAACCGTACTATCCAATGTCTCGACGGTGGTACTCGCCTCCGGCATTGTACGGATTTCGATGCGCAAACTTGGCTCAGTTCTGCTCTCACTAACATCGATATGTGCAGCTCCGGCGCGGCGGATCTCAATGTCACGGATTTTATTACTCCCATCAAATGTCAGAATGTTTCCAAGATGATTAGCAATTGTTTGGCCATTAATGGGAGATTCTTACAGGAAGAGACCAAAAGCAGAACAACGGGAACAGAGGAATATCAAAATGGGTTTCCGACATGGGTTTCCAGTGGTGATCGGAAATTGTTGCAGTCGGCGAGGGTTAGAGCTCATTTGGTGGTGGCGAAAGATGGGTCTGGCAAATTCCGGACGGTTCAGGCGGCGATCAACGCCGCCGCGAGGAGGCGTGGGAGAAGCCGCTTTGTAATTTACATAAAGCGTGGGGTTTATAAAGAAAACATTGAAGTTGGGAACGATAATGCGAACATAATGCTGGTCGGAGATGGGATTAGATTTACCGTGATTACGAGCGGAAGAAGCGTCGCCGCCGGCTTCACCACCTTCAATTCTGCAACCGCAGGTATGGTATTAAATATGACAGATTGGTAAACTATAATTTAGTATTGAATATTTTGGACACATCAGGTATCCAAGGTCCAGGGTTCATGGCTCGAGGCATAAGGTTTGTGAACACAGCCGGACCAAGAATGGGGCAAGCAGTGGCACTACGGTCATCATCGGACCTATCGGTGTTCCATCGGTGCAGCTTCGAGGGCTACCAAGACACACTCATGGTGCTGTCACAGAGACAATTCTACAAGCAATGCTACGTATACGGTACAATCGACTTCATTTTTGGGAACGCGGCAGTGGTTCTACAAAACTGCTTGATTTACGTGCGAAGGCCTTTAAAGGGGCAAGTGAACGTGATCACCGCGCAGGGCCGAGAGGACCCATTTCAGAACAGCGGAATCTCGATCCACAACTCGCAAATACGGGCGGCGGCTGATTTGCAGCCCATGATTGGGTCTGTGAAGACGTACTTGGGGCGGCCCTGGAAGAAGTACTCGCGGACCGTCATCATGAGAAGCTATATTGATAGCTTGGTGAGCCCAATGGGTTGGTTGGCGTGGCAAGGTACTAGATTTGCTCAAGATACGTTGTATTATGGGGAGTATCGTAATTTTGGGCCCAGAGCCTCCACCCGGCTTCGAGTCAGATGGCCTGGTTTTCATGCCATTACAACCCGAAATGTGGCCTCTAAGTTCACCGTCCGGAGACTCATCGCCGGCCATACTTGGCTTCCGGCCACTGGAGTTCCCTTCAAGCTTGACCTCTGATTTCCATTTCTTACATTTTATCACTTCCATCTCATTTTTATTTATGTAATAAACTATCTGATTGCATCCCAAATTTATTAAAACCTAATTTTATTTTATTTTTTAAAATTCAGCTATTATCCAATTTCTATCCATTAATTTCAAAAAAATTTATTTTAAAATAAAAATAGTTACACGGCCAACAACATAATTATTCATAATAGTATTAAAAATAAATTATTTCATAAAATAATTATTCATAATGTGGGCCGAGTGAAGAAGGCTGGACGGCCAGTGGGCCAGACATGGAAAGAGTGGGCCGTGGGGGGTGTTGGCAGTAGAGGGCAGAATGGTAAAATCAACAGCTGCCCCCATTGAACAAAACAACAACCCTCTGCTCTTAAAATCTCATTTCTCTCCAAATCCGCCATGGCCGCCTTCTTCTATTACACAATTTACCTCATCCTTCTCTGTCTTCCACAATCCCTTAGTCTCTCCTCCACCATCCACGACCTCCTCCGGTCTAAGGGGCTGCCGGCGGGGCTTGTTCCGAGGGAGGTAAAATCCTACTCCCTCTCTGAAAGCGGCCTTCTGGAAGTGTTCCTGGACGGCCCTTGTCTGACCAAATTCGAGAACAGGGTTCTGTATGAGAGCGTGGTTAAGGCGAATCTGAGCTACGGAAGTCTGATCGGCGTTCAGGGGCTGACTCAGGAGGAGCTGTTTGTATGGCTTCCAGTGAAGGACATAATCGTGGATGACCCTAAATCCGGCCTTATTCTCTTTGACATTGGCCTCGCTCATAAGCAACTCTCCCTTTCTCTGTTCGAAGACCCCCCCACCTGCAACCCTCAATCTACAGGTACTTTTTAATATGGGTTTTGATTTTCGGGTGGGATTGGGATTCGCAGAGCTTCCGCGGCATCATGTGAGGAAGGAGAAAGGATTTGAAGCTCTAAGATGAGGACAATTTTGTCTTTTTCAATATATAATTAGTTGAGTAAGAAACACATAAGTTTGGTTATTATTATTATTATTATTATGAATTTATAAATTAATTTTGAGAGTTAGGGATTATTATTTCTTTTATTATTTTTTTTTTTTTAAAAAAAGCCTCTCTTCACGGGTTGATTTTGCGGGAACGTAGGCTTTATTGGGAATATGTGGTTTTATTTATTTGTTTATTTTTAATTTTATTGTCCAATAATCCTTGATTAATGGGATTTGGATTTGTTTTGATTTGAATCTTAGGTAATAATAATTACCCCCTTGTTGCCAACGATTATTAAAAAAAAAAAAAAAGAAAGAAAAGAAGTAAAAATATATACATTAATAAATAAAGAAAATTAAAAAATTGTTATAACTATATTTTAAAAAAATTAATGAGAAAGAGAATTTATTAATTGGCCCCCTCTTTTTTGTTGTATTTAATGATTGAGAATGATTGTATTGGTAGGTTGCTTTTGTTGGGGAATCAATTGAATCAATAATTTTAAAATGGAGGGAGCAATTTGGGGATGGAAAAGTAAATAAAGGACTCCCAATAAATATAAAATAAATTCCAAGTATTTGTCGTTAAGCTGTTGGTGTTTATTGGGATTCTTTCAAACAATATGCAACTATGGCACCTAAGTTTCAGACGAACTTTACCTGAAATATAAGAATAATAATTTTAAGAAATACTTCAGAAGTGTTTTCACTATTGGGGTTGAGTTATGCAAACACATGAAAAATGATCATACCTATGATTTAAAACTGTGTTTTTTTTTAGGTGGCTTTCCAATTCTAACAAATTGGATGTGTAGTATTTCTCTACATATAACCCACACATGTGAGCATGGGTTCACCATGTAGGATCGCACACCCCCTCGACCTGTTGGTCGAGCTAGCTCCTCTAATCTATAGCCAGACACCCAAAGGAAACATCGATCGTTGTTGTACTATGCTAAGCATGATGATCATTTTTGTCTCATAGTGTACACATCTGTACTCATCATACGGGAAATATCTTAATGCACATAAACATACAAATATGTATAAGATCTCCATATTTTCATGGTGGCTTAACAAATTATGTAAGACAACCCCATTCTTTCCTCACATATCACATTTAGTAATATGCACGAATAAACTTTCTTAAATAATTTCATTCACAATATGACTTTCAAATCATGGCATGAGGCTATGCTTCGTAGCTTTTCTTTATTTCAAAACATATCATAGCATGTCATAATATATCATAGTGCATCAAAGTATCTCATACATTATATAGCTTATCATAACATAACTTAACATTTCATTAATATCATCCTATCATTTAGCTTATCTTATAAAGACACAACATAACATCACATCACAAACCATATCACACATATGACACGTGTAAGGCCATTGGGCATCTGTCATCCTACATAAAACAATTTTCCAACCAGACTGAAAATAGAGTCACTTACTTAGTTGATCTTAACTAAATTTCTATCTTATTTTCAAGATTGGCCAGACTTTGTCCCTCAAAAATCGTTTCAACCTATATGGAGACACTTCACCATATTAGAAATATTTACCTAATTTCTCCAATAATTCTAGTTCCTAACTTCAATTAACTTAAACTAAGTAATCAAGAATTATACTAGCCTTAAATGCATTCGATAAGGTCAAATTTAGCTTTGGGAGGGTAAAAAATGTGGGAATTGGCATCAAATCCTTAAATCGAGCAGTTTATGCCGTTTTCCAACCGCTGGAGTTGTGGAGTTGAGCCAAAGCCGACGTCAGCCAAGCCGCTGAGTAAGCTGAGAGGAGGCACGTGTCTTGTGTCATAATCGCACTCTTGATGGCAGTGGACTTACGATCGTGCGGCACTCACTTTCCAACGACAAGTGAGCTAAGCCAATTTGTTCTTACATCGTCTATGGCCAAGCGACGTATGCTCGAGCCTTTGGCCTCGGTTTAAAAAGAAGGTTTTAGAAAACGACGGCAGTGAGAGATTTTTGAAAGAGAGATTTTGAAAGAGACATAATATAAGCAAGCAAGAGAGTAACAACAACGGCTCACAGTATATAACCTTTGGTAGGGAGAAGTTGACAATTAGTCATATCCCCCTATAGTACATTCTGAGGCATTTCATGTCTAGCAGACCTAGACATGATTTTTCCAAAACGTCATACTCCCTAGAAATACAAAAGTAAAACACTAGAACATGGAAAGACATAAAGGGTTTGGCTTGTCATGGGCATGCGGCCATGGGCAACACGCCTTGGACGAGCATAACCGTGACATCCTCCCCCACCTAATTGGTTGACGTCTCTATCAACCAACTACTTTCAAACCTCGTGATGTGGGTGGCGGCGGAGTCCAGATCTTCGGAGCGTTCCCAGCTAGTTTCCTCCGTAGGGAGATTCTTCCATTTGACAAGGAATTCGCGAATCTTCCGTACGGGTCTTCCTATCTTCCTAACCCTGTTGGCTAGGATCATCTCTATTTCTTTAGTGTCTCTTTATTTCAGATCGATGCTCGGTCTAGTGATTACATTTCGCTGGTCGTCATCTGGGTCAGGGTGGTAGGGCTTCAAGTTGCTCACATGAATTACTGGGTGGATTTTCATCCATGTGGGTAGCGCAACTCTATAGGAAGTAGCCCCGATCTTTTTAAGGACTTTAATCGGGCTTTCATATTTTCGAACTAGTCTCTAGTCCTTTCGGCTGCAGAATCTAATCTATTCTGGTCTCAACTTGATGAGGACTTGGTCTCCTGCTCGAAATTGGAGGGGGCAACGCTTCTTGACTGCCCACTTCTTCATATGCTTGGAAGCTTTCTCCAAATATGCCTGGGCTATATCTATTGTCTACTTCCATTCTCTGGTGAAGTTTTGAGCTTGAGGGGTTTTTTTTCTGCATAAAGATGGTCACTAATATGAGGCAAGGCTGGCTGTCGTCCACTTACAATTTCGAAGGGGCTCTTTCCAATAGATGAACTCGTTAGAGAATTGAAACAGAACTAGGCGACATCTAGCAGCTGTATCCAGTTTTTCTAGCGAGCGTCGACGAAGTGACGTAAGTATTTTTCGAGTAAACAATTTAACCGTTTCGTCTGTCCATCGATTTGAGGATGATAGCTCTAGGAGATGTTTAAAGCCGTTCCCAAGAAGGCGAATAACTCGGTCCAGAATGTGCCAATGAATCTACCATCCCTATCGCTGATGACACTCGACAGAATGCCCCATAACTTTACAATGTGTTTGAAAAATAGTTGGGCCGTTAGTTTAGCCGAACATAATTTGGGAGTGGAAATGAACGTTGCGTATTCCGAGAATCGGTCTACGATAACCAAGATGGTGTCATATTCTCCGACTTTAGGGAGGTGTGTTATGAAGTCCAAAGACACAGTTTTCCAAGGCCTAGTTGGCACGGGTAGAGGTTCCAAGAGTCCCGAAACTTTGACTTTCTCGACTTTGTCCTGTTGTCAGATGAGGCATGTCTTGGTGTACTGCATGATCTCATCCCACATATTTGGCCAAAAGTACCCCTTTTTTATTAAGGCATATGTTCGTTGCCACCCAGGGTGTCCGGCCCACAAAGTATCATGACATTCCTGAATGAGCTTCTTCCTCAGATCTCCTGTTCTTGGAACATATAATCTGTTTCCCTTTGTCATTAGAAGTTCTCCCTCGACCCAAAACTGTCGTGTCTTCCCAGCTTTGGCTAGTTCAACGACGGCTTTGGCTGATGGGTCTTTATGTAAGTGTTCTTTGATGATGTCGCGCATCGATCCATCAATCTTACTTGAGTGAATATGGGCTAACATGCACAGGGCCGCATGTTCGCCCTTCTGACTCAGTGAGTCGGCTGCTTGGTTACTTTTTCCTGCCTTATGTTCAAATTTGAAGTCGAATTCAGCCAACAACTTCTGCCACCGAGCTTGTTTTGTCGTCAATTTCTGTTGATCGAAGAAGTGGCAAATGGCGCTGTTATCCGTCTTCATTACGAATTGTGATCCCAAGAGGTACTGTCTCCAATCTCGTAGGCAACGGACCACAGCTATCATTTCTTTTTTGGAGACAATGTACCTCCTTTCAACATCATTGAGCTTTCGACTTTCATAAGCGATAGAGTGGCCTTCTTGAATAAGGACGCCACCTAGGGCAAAGTCGGAAGCATCTGTTCTATTTCAAATGGTTAAGTAACATTTACTAATCCAAAGACAGGACCCCTCGTCAAGGTTGCCTTCAGATTTTCAAAGGCCACTTGACATTCATTTTGACCACAACTAAGGGTGGTCTTTCTTCAGGAGTTCTATTAATGGGGCGACTCGTCGTGAAAACCTTCGACGAACCGCCTATAGTAGTTTGCCAATCCTAGGAAAATCGCGCATCAGATACAGAAGTAGGGATTTTCCACTCTTGGATAGCTTTTATCTTATTGCTATCCATACCGATCTGCCCACAACAGATGACATGTCCGAGGAAGTTGATACATGTTTGTGCGAAGGCACATTTTTCTTTCTTGACGTACAACTGATTCTGCCGCAGCTTGTCAAACACTAGCTTCAGGTGCACCTTGTGTTCCTCTAGGGTTGTGCTGTATACAACTATGTCGTCGAGGTATACTACGACGAACTGATCCAAGTATTCATGAAAAACCTGGTTCATTAACGTGCAAAACGTAGCTGGGGAGTTTGTCAAGTCAAAGGGCATTACCAGAAACTCAAAGGCCCCATATCTTGTTACACACGTCGTCTTGGGCTCGTCCCCTGCGGCGATATGTACTTGGTAGTATCCTGATCGTAAGTCCAACTTCGTGAAGTATTTAGCCCCGTGAAGCTGGTCAAACAAGTCAGACATTATCGACAGTGGGTATTTGTTGCATACTGTCACCTTATTTAAGGCTTTATAATCTATGCACAAACGCAACGTCTCATCCTTCTTTTTCTAAAATAGTACGGGGGCTCCGTAAGGTGCCTTTGCCGGGCGGATGAATCCTGCTGCCCACAACTAATCTAGTTGTTTCCTCAATTCGGCTAGCTTAGGGGTAACCATCTGGTATGCGTTCTTCGCTGGGGGTTTAACCCCGGGGAGGAGTTCAATTTTGTGATCAATGCCTTGACGAGGTGGTAGTGTTTGTGGTAGGCTCTCTAGCATAATGTCAGTATAATTGTTTAGTACATCCTTGACTCCAGTTGGAATAGTTTCCTCCGTTGTTCTTTCTTCCATTAGGGGTATAGCCATAAATGTAGGTTCCTCGCGTGCGAGTCCTCTTTTTAATTGTATGATCGAGATCATTCTAAGATTACCTGGCTGCTTGATGCTTGTAGGTATTACTGTGGGGTTGTGGTCGGTGATCACCAAGCATTTCGCCAGTGGCATTGGGATAACTTTGTGTTCTAGGAGGAAGTCCATCCCAAGTACTACGTCAAAGTCGTCCATGCGAACCACGACAAGGTCCATCTCTCCCGTCCAGGCCCCTAATTTGAAGGAGACTCTTTTGGAGACTCCTACAATAGGCAAGGCCTCGGAGTTGACAGCTTTCATTTTTCCGAGGTCCTTTTCTATGGTGGGTCCCAATCTTCGTGCTTCTTGGTAGGCAATGAAGTTGTGGGTCGCACCTAAGTCTATCAAGGTGCTCTTGCTTGGTCAGGAGTTTATTGTTGCATCTACGAACATGAGCCCTTTCTCTATTATCTCCTTTGGGTCGACCTTTCGTTGGAGGGCTGACAAGAATTTAAGCACACCCATTCGGGGGTTGTCTTGATTTTTCCTCCTGTCTGGCGTAGTCTTGACTGTGTCGTTGCTCTCTTGGATGGACACCTGGAGTGCACTGAGAGATGCCCGATGAGGACAATAGGACAGTTTGTGGGGGCCTTTACACAACAGACATCGTAAAGGTGCCGTCGGAAAGTTCTTCTGAGGGTAAGGTCTTCGAGATGTCCCCGCTTGGTTATTTTGCAGAGGTCTATCTATCCACCCACTTGGTCTGTCGTTACTTTCGTTTGGCCTATTGGGGCCTTCATTTCAATGACCTGGCGGCTTATATGTTCTGCCCTCAGTGTTTGAGGTCTGTGTTGTTCTTCTTTGGAAACTCACTTCGTTCCCAAAGTCTAGGAGTTTCTCGGTGCTGGCGATTGCAATAGCTAGGTCTTAAACCTTTTTCTCGTGTATTTTTTTTTTTTGGCCCACGGTTATAACCCATTTATGAAAAAAAATACCTTTTCTTTCTCTGATGTGCCCCTGATATCTAGTATTAGGGTCGAAACTGTCGGACATAGTCCCTTATGCTTCCAGTTTGTTTTAGGGTTATTAGTTTTTCCATTGCTATATGTTCTACATTTTCGGGGAAGAATTGCTCCCTCAACTCTCTCTTGAGGTCTTCCCACGAGTTGATGGTGCACAATCCATTCTCGATGTCTTGCACCTTCGTACGCCACCAAAGTTTTGCATCGTCTATGAGATGCATTGAGGCTACTGTCACTTTTATGTCGTCGGTACAAGCCGTTGTGACTTTGAAGTACTGTTCGACATCAAAGATGAAGTTCTCCAGCTCCTTGGCGTCCCGGTTCCCTTTGAAGGGTCTGGGCTCTGGGAACTTCAGTTTGTTGGATACTGTATGAGTTTTCCCAGCTGTGACGTTCACCACGGCTTTCTAGTCACCCCAATTTGGGTGTTCATGTCGGCCATCTTTTCTTGGATGGCTTCGATCGTTGTTCGGAATTCGTCAGCTAATCCATTAAATAAACTCATCATGGTATTTTGTAGCACGTCGAACTCTTCGCCACGTCCCTCCTTGTGCGCGACAGAACTATCGGGGCTACCAGTAGGTCTTGAGCTGCTCGTAGGAGCAACTCTTTCTTTGAGCGAAGCCACTCGAAACATTAGTTTTGCGATTAGCAACCCATCCAGGTGGCTGCCCATTGCATCGATTTGTAAGACTTTTCCATTCAATTCCATCACCCGTTCTTCGAGGAAGCGGATGGTGTCAGGGACTTCTTTGAGGAACAATATTTCCTCCTCTATTAAAGTAAGCCGGTCGGCTTGTGCTTTGGGTGTCGACTTTGTCGTCGACATAGTTTCAGTCTTTGCTATGTCACGAAGCTAACAAAGCTCTAATTCCATTTATCACAATCGCACTCTTGATGGCAGCGGACTTGCGATTGTGCGGCACTGACTTTCCAACGACAAGTGAGCTAAGCCAATTTGTTCTTACGTCACCTATGGCCAAGCGACGTATGCTCGAGCCTCTGGACTCGGTTTAAGAATAAGGTTTTAGAAAACAAGGGTAGAGAGAGATTTTTGAAAGAGACGTTATATAAGCAAGTAAGAGAGTAACAACAACGGCTCACAGTATATAATTCTCAGGCATTTTATGTTTAGTAGGCACACAGTACATAACCTTTGGTAGGGAGAAGTTGACAACTAGTCATATCCCTCTATCGTACATTCTTAGGCATTTCATGTCTGGTAGGCCTAAACATGATTTTTTCGAATGTCATACTCCCTAGAAATACAAAAGTAAAACACTAGAACATAGAAAGACATAAAGGGTTTGGCTTGTCATAGGCATGCGGCCACGGGCAACACGCCTTGAACGAGCATGACCGTAACACCGTGCACGTGCAAGGGGGCCAAAGGTGATTTTTTTTTTTTTTTTTTTTTTTTTTTTTTTTTTTTTT